CAATTTAAAGACCCAATCCAGAATGGTCATCTGAAATGAATAGATGCTTGTCAGATGAAGAAATAGAAATAGCAAATTAAGGGACTGGGGAGATGGCTTAGTAGGATAAGCGCTCCCCTGGCAAGCACAAGGGCCTGAGTTTGATCCCTGGTTCTGCCAAAAAAACAAAAAAACAAAAAAACAAGAAAAATAAAGAAACAGCAAATAAATACAGCAAAAAATGTTCAGTGTCATTAGTCTTTCACAAAATGGAGATAAAAACAATGCTGAGTTTCCATGTCACCCCAAAAAGAATGGCTATTATTAAGAAATCAAGGCCAGGGATAGAGCTCAGTGGCACAGTGCCTGCCTGGCAAGCACAAGGTCATCAGTTCAATTCTTGGTACCAAAAAGAAAAAGAAATCAACAGTAACAAATGCTGGCCAGGCTGTGGGAAAAAAGGAACCCCTTTGCACTGTTGGTGGGTGTGTAGACTGGTGCAACCATTGTGTAAATCAGTGTGGAGACACCTCAGAAAACTAAGACTAGAGGTTCCATTTGACCCAGCTGTTCCCTTTCTTGGTGTCTCCCCAAAAGAATTGTCAGCAGCATACCAGGCACTCTATGCTCACCCGTGATAATAACGGCACAATTTGTAATAGCTAAATCTTGGAAACAGCCCATCAACTGGTGAATAGCTAAAGAAGATGTGTTTTTCATACAATGGAATACTCCTTTGCTGTAAAGAAGAATTAGTTTGAGACATACTGGTAAATGGGTGTACCTGAGACCATACTTTTAGTAAAATAAGTTGGACACACATGTAAATAGTGCATTGTTTCTCTGGTGTGGAAACCCGAAAGTGTAAGTAAAAACCAAAATATATAAAGATATTGGAAAATAAGATGTTCAAGTGGGAAGCACAATGGATGGGGATGGGGAGAGATGGAGAAAGTGGAAAAGGAGAAAAGGAAAAGTGGAAACAAAGCTTTTGTAAATAAGGAGGGGAAGAGAAGATGAAGGGGACAGTAAGGGAATGAGGGAAAAAAGTCAAGTCATTTCATGTACAGGTACAAATTCCCTGTGATGAATGTGAGCATTATGTATAGCTAAAGTATACCAATAAAGATCATTTTCCTTGAAAAAGTAAAGGAATTGTGAACCAAAAGGGAAACAAAAGGAACGGAGAGCAATGAGCAAAAAAGAATTAAGATGCATTGTGTATATGCACATTAAGTACTACAACTGCTCTAATACAGTAAAGAAGATACTACACACGAGAGAACTCTGTGGCTCTTGTGGTAACCCTAACTTTCTCCAGTGTGGGTTAAGCCTATCCCTCATGTGAACTATAGGTGCCTGCTTGTTGATGTGTTCTCTGGATGCCTCCCTCCCATGCACCCTCCTTTACCCTGTAAAAAAATGTGTGTGTGCACATCAGCATTTAAGGTGAACAAATGAAATTACTGATGTAATTGTGTTTCTGACAACTGCATGAAAAATTATTTGGAGGCTTTGGTAAATTCTCATATGTTCCTTGTTTTCATCTGTTGAAGAAGAGACTCTGTTGTCTTTGTTTGTGCTCTACAGCCATAACTGTAGCACTCAGTAACCGAATGGTTGGAACATTTGTTGTTTTGAGGGCTTGAAATTTTAAGATAGATGAGTACTTACTTCCTGTTCTCCTTGCTTCATGTACCACCAAAACCTCCATAGAGATCTTTTTAAAGTCTTAGTATTACATATTTTTAATATAAAATGGAATCACTGAAGCTAAGATAAGCTCTGGGGACTATAAGTTGCTTCTAAAATAGAAAAGTAGTCCTGCTCCCCCTCCCTGTCACAGCTGCTTTCCCAGTCTTGGGGACTGACCTGGTGCCCATCCAAAGCTCTCTTTCTCAGCTTCAAAGATGAGCTGTAGAGAATTTCTTGTACTGAGTTGCTCATTCCCCCATTGCAATACATAGTTGTGTAGAAGTTATTATAAAATCAACAATTGGATATTATTACACACTCTCAGATGCCACCTGGCTAATCATTGATGTCGTCCTGTCCTTTCCTCTGAGCCTACAGAACTATGTACATCTACCATGATTAGATCTTTCCTGCTTCTTTTATTCTGTATTCTTATACTAAGTGGTACTTTCTATCTTACTGTATTTTTCCAATGCCGGTCACCACTCACGTATCACGGTTGATTTCACTCCCGGTCTTAGACATTTTCTCTCCCTGGGGCCAAATAAATACCCAGCACCTGCTCCTTAAAGGGAGGAGAGGTTTGTTTTGGCTCAAGTTTCAGCCCAAAGTCTATTCCCTCTAAGAGAGGATAGTGTGGCAGATGGGCATTACCAGGAAAAGCTGCTCACCTGGGATGGCCAAAAGCAAGAGCAAAGGGAAGAGGATGAGCCTCTGTCTTTGAGCCCAGTGCCTCGCCTCTCCCCACCCGGGCCCATCTCCGACAGTGCACTTACTACAGATTCATGGTGAGCAGGCACCCCATCATCCAGTCTCCTCCCACAAGCTCCATCTCTGAGCACTGGAGGCTTTGGGGACATCGAGATAACAACCGTAACAGACCCAATAACAGGCTAAGAATCTGTGGCAAAGCAAAGCCCATGCCTATGCAAGTCACTATAAAATCATTTTGGCAAATGTCAGTGAAGATGCTTCATGTTTTCTGCATAAATCATCTTCAGTCAAATTTGGGACAGTGCCAGGAAGATAGCTCATCCTGGCAAGTGCAAGGTCCTCAATTCAATCCCTCGTAGAAAAAAAAGTCTGTCAGATTTGGGATAATGATTTGACTTCTGTTATCTTAAGTTCAAAACATCTCTGATAAATGATCAATTTATAGTCTTGAGTTTTCTTGAATCTTGCATGCCAAAGGAAATTTGACAACTGCAAGGAAGGAAGGAAGGAAGGAAGGAAGGAAGGAAGGAAGGAAGGAAGGAAGGAAGGAAGGGTGGGTCTGTGGTCCATGGACAGTGTGGTGGCTTCGCTGGAGGGGAGGCAGGTGAGGGTGTGGCAGAGCTAAGTGTACTGCGCCCAGCGCCCCTGTGGTTGTAGCAGGCCAGTGCGTGCCAAAGACAGTGCCTCCTGTGGGTAGGAGTGGGTCGTCTCCTGCAGCGGGTTCAGAACTGCTGTGCTGCTGTCCTGGGGCTGAATCTATTTCGCGGCAAGCCACAGATGCCCCTGTCGATTCCAGAAATAAAAGTTCCACTAAGCAGAATTTGTTCTTTTGTTAAGTGATGTGATTTGGATTTTTTTTTCTTCTTTAAAAAAGTGCAAATGTCACTTTGGTTGCAAGAGTAAATTGATTGCCTGACACAGACCTAAGTCTAGGTCAGTTTGAAGAACCGGTCCTGGTGGACAGACTCCCTGGGTTCCGCTCGGCATTATGCTTCTGACACCACAGCCGCCCTGTGAGACGAGGACTGTGGAGGGAGGGGCATGTCGGGTCAGAACGTGACGAGATGCAGGAGGACCAGAGGAGACCCCTCGGTCTGTGCTTCTGAGAAGTGTAGCGCTGTTACGGAACGTATCTTTCTGTCATACTTGTCTTTAGCAGTTTATCACTTAGTTTTTACAAGAGGAATGTACATAGGAACAATTTTGATTATGTGGGTGACAAGAAAAATGAAGAATGTTTATTTTGCTGAGATGTCAAATGGTATGCAATGACAGTAGCAGTTCTCGTTTATTACTTACCCTGTGATAGGAGCTCTTTACTGCATCTGATTCTCAAAACTGTCCAATGTGGTAGATGCACTATTATTTTGGGAATGAGATACCTGCACCTTGAGGAATTCATCAGCTTTTCCGGATAGTACAAAAAGGTCTGATGCACACCCCTGTCCTATACCACCCACATGCAGCCCAGCATGCCCTTGGAGGCAGCAGGCCAGAGTCCTGTCATATGTGTCTGGACTCCCTTTCTTCCCTATGAAGTGATAAATACCCCATAGAGCCCAGGGAAAAACCAGGAGAATAGCTAAAAGGTGGTGAGTAAGGCGTCCTAGTGACAAGGAAGCACGGAACTGGAGAGTCGAGGTCATCCGTGTCAGCAGCCTAACCATGTCCAAGGGTCTGATGTATCCATTCTCATTTATATTTGTCATATCAAGGGCCGGCGAGATAGCTCAGCAGACTAAGTGCCTACTTAGGCAAGCACAGGGACTGGGGTTTGATCCCTGGCACATCTGTGTGACCCTGCCCCCGGGTATGCTGAGCAGCCACTGAGTCCAGGCATGGTGGCATACACCTGTAATCCCGGCACTGAGGAGGCTGAACACAGGAGGATCATTACGAGTTCGAGCTGTGCAGTGAGACCCTGCACAGTATACATCATACATACAGAGATATCTCTGTCATGTCCTGTTGTAAATTTTCAAATGTCTAATTTTTATCAGTTTTCCTGATTCACAGAAAATCTTCCTTCTGGTGTTTTTGAATTAAAGGCAGTTGTTATTTATCCAAAATGCACGAGAATGGACCTACCGATGTACTAGAAAATTTGCAGAGCTTCATTTCACGAGCCAGCTCTTATTATATGCTAGCAAGGTCACAGCTCATTTCTGAATGAGATTCCCCATTTGAAGTCCAATAATGTCTTTGCTGCCTTAGGAATTTGTGGTGTCCCCTGTTGCCTCTGAGTCAGCAAGGCGATGTCACCATGCCCACAGTGACAAGTTTGTAAACCTAGAAGTACAACTACTAAATCTGTAGGTAAAATTGTACAGCCTTTGCAAAAATAGAACCTTGAAGCTTTAAAAGCCCTTACTGCTGTTGTTTTTCAGTCCAGGGAATTGACCCAGAGGATGCTGGGCCAGAACCCCAGCCCTTTTTATTCTGAGACATCGAGGTTTTGCTGAGTTGCCTAGATTGGCCTCAAACTTAGAATCTCCTGCCTCAGCCTCCTGGGTAATTGGGATTATAGGCATGCATCAGCGTAAAGCATTCTTTCTGAAGACTTATTTTTAATAAAAGTTGTAGTTTAACACAGAGTGTGTGTTGCTTTTCAGAACAACTCTTGGAATTTATGCACCAGCTGCCCGCCTTTGCGAATATGACGATGTCGGTGAGGCGAGAGCTCTGTGCTGTGATGGTGTTTGCTGTGGTAGAGAGAGCTGGAACCATCGTGTTAAATGATGGCGAGGAGGTTAGTGCACATCTCTCCATGTACAGGGCTTCTGTCTGAGGGTCTCGCCTGTAACACTTGCCCAGAAACCCAGTTTTTACTGTTTCCTTTAAAAAAACAAAACAGTAGTAATGAGCCAGTAAGAATCAGTCAAGAATTGTGAGATACTAATTTCTGATGGACATTTATTTTTAACGTCCAAATTCCATTTTATTTTCCATCATATCCATTCTATATGATACACTGATAGTCCTTTTAGGGGTGCTGTTGTTTGTTCTGTGGTGCTGGGGCTAGAACTGGGGCCTTCAGTGTTGTGTGGTCACAGTGTTATTTTCTGCTTTGTCTCCATTGTTTCTGCCCAGCTGGATTCCTGGTCTGTGATCCTCAACGGCTCTGTGGAGGTGACCTACCCAGACGGAAAAGCAGAAATACTGTGTATGGGGAATAGTTTTGGCGTCTCTCCTACCATGGACAAGGAGCACATGAAAGGGGTGATGAGAACAAAGGTCGACGACTGCCAGGTAGGCAACATCGTAACAGTGTGTATGTGACTGACTGACGGGCGCTAGGGGTGCCCTCCAGGGCCCTGCTCATATTCTGCGTGAACACTGAGCTGCAAGCCAGACTGGATGTTCCTCTAAGTGGAGAGTATACGTATGTTTCTGTCTGTATTGATGGGTCATCTTTTAAGTTTGCAAATAAGATTTTAATATGGAATGGTTACTTTTAGTCTTACAGTGTCTTAGGAAATTAAAAATAAATGTTCATCAGAGTTTTTTGAAGTCAACAGAACTATGTGTTCTGTTTTTTAAAAAGCATTCTTTTTAGAGTATTTTAAAATTTCTGTCAATAATCTGTTCATCAAAAATACGGACATCAGGTGCACATTATAAAAAGAATTGTAAGTAAATTAATAAAGATGATATGGTACAGCTCTGCAGTATTATTTAAGTACGTAGAAAACCAATGAGTTTTTGAAGAGACATAGATAGTACTCATAAATCAATCAATAGTGAATAGCTGTTAAAAATGCTAGTAAAATAATTGCTGATAAGAGTACTTAACCAAAGAGAAGTAGTATCAGTAAACTGTGCCAGTATTCACTATTTAAAAGTCTTTCATAATTGACTAGAGAAAATACATTTATTTATATATTTATTTTTATCAATTCTGGAGATTGAGCTGAGTTTTGTGTATGCTAGGCAAAAGTGCTCTACCACAAGACTACATATACCTCTGGCCCCAAATACTATGAAATTTAGATTAACTTATATATTAGTGACAAATTTTTTTCCATAATTTTATTGAGAAATAGCAATGCGACAGTTTCAAATCAAAATGACAAATAAATTTAAAGTTTTTGCTATTTATAGTCCATGTACTCTCTCCTAAAAATTTTGTCTTTGAAGGAAATGTTTTAAAAATTAGAGTTAGACTAATGATGTGCTCATTGTACTTATTAACGTGGTCTGAACGTCCTCTGAACATAATTTATTCTAAAAGAACTGCAATTTTGTAGTGTTTGATCTAGATAAAATAGCATTAGTGATTTGAATTGTTTATTGTGAGCATCTTACTAAAATGAGGAATATGACCATGGGTATAAATAATATGCTGAATCAAAATACTTTTAAATTCAATGTTTTAAATATATAATGCCAGAAAATTATACTAAGTTTAGTTGCATCACAGTTCCTCAGAATAATGGAGGAAAGTGAAATGACACATAGACCCCGGGACCTTGTTAGGCATGGGTGTGCATCTGGAAATGCGGAAGGTGCATCTGTCTATGCCCAGTATAAAAAAAAAAGTTGAACCAAACAGAGTCAAAACAAGCTAGAGAAATGTTGAAGCTCTCTTCCTTCCTAATGCCCCATTTCATCTGAAACCTTCCTTCTTCATGCTGGAATTGCAGTAACATTGGAGGTGCAGTCTCCATTGTATGGAGGCCAGGAAAAGGTTGATTCATTTTGGAGAATTCAGCGTGTATATTAATGCTCCTGAACTGGCCAAACAGCATTGCCGGAAATTTTGTGACAGTGGGGCTGAACTGATAGGATGCACCTGAGTATTTCAGAATGCTGGAAGTATTATGTGAGCTAGGGTTGCAGCGTGCCTAAGTAATGCCTGTGGTACCAGGTATGGTGAGAGTGCTTCCTAGACATTCTGATGCAAAGAGGAAGGAGGGAGACACTGTTTGCAAGAGTCTGATCTGTTGGTGGGGTGCATAGCAGAGCTCTCCCCTGGGCACGTGGGCCGTGTCCCTCCTCTGTGACTTCTCTGCAGCTGGAGAAAGCCCTGCCTTCTGCCTGACCCACTGCTGTCAGAGAAGTGTGTTAACCCGGGTGCCAGGAGTTGCCCTCTACACCCCAAGTAGTTGCTCAGGCCTGGAGCGTGTCCCTTAAGGTACACCCAGTACAGTGAATGCATCACCGCACTGGCAGCGCCTGTGGGGATGGCAGTTTAGTATTCTTCTGTTAAGATGTTCTGCATTTGTGGGTACCACACGTCAGCCCTTCCTCTTGGTAGTGGGGGAGCCATAGTACAAGGGCCTCTGGTGTTGTCGTTCTGCTGACCACATTGTGTGGAATCAGCAGTCACCACATGAGATAAGCAAGAGCTGTGATATCTTTTGCAAGAAAAAAAAAAAACAAACAAACTTCACTTAGCGTTTGTCCCTGTACTCTAACTTCCATGAGTCCAGGATGAGCTTGGGCTGATGTGACTCATGCTGCCACGTTGAACCGTAGAGCATGGTGGTGAGCGGAGGAGCTGTAAAGCATCTTGGGACCCTGTAACCACTCAAGCATGTCCTGATCTGAGTCATCCTTTGTGCCCTTACTATGCAGCTCCTCCCCAGCATCCTTTCTTACTAGAGTTTTGAGCTTGGTACAGACAGCGTGTGGACCAGGTGATGGGTGACAGATGTCTACCTCCTTTCCCTTCTCCTGTGTCCCTTTCTTGCTTTTTTCTCTGGTACTCCTTCTGCTTGTGTGTTATGCCTGCTCCCCACCCTTCAGCACACCTGTGGGTATAGTACCAACTTAAATAGATCTCACCTTCTGAGCTTGGTCTCTTGGGGTGGTGGCAGCTAATGACGCTGACATTTCAGAGTTTGGGGGTGAGAAAGCAGCCTGGCATGAATAAGCTCAGTTATCTGTATGGTGTGTTGATTGAAGTTTAATTCTACCTCATTCTTTTATTACCTGTAGTTCTATTTTACTATAATCATAATGTCAGGTGCATTGTTTGGTTTTGGTGGTGCTGGGGGCAAAACTGAGGGCTCTGGCGTTCCAGGGCTGCCCTACCACTGAGATAGCTTTCTAGCCCACTTGCTGATCTTGTTTGAATTCTTACTTCCTGTGAGGTTGCTGTGTCAGTACAGACCTCCCATTTGCTTACAAGTGCCCGAAAGTCTAAAACCTCTAAAACAATTCATACATTTTCTAACTTCCATCACACAAGTTAAGTTTTGTTTATTTATTTTTTTAAAAATGTATTTGTCTGTTAAGGGGTTTCACTACGTAGCTTAGACTCATAGTGATCCTCCTGTTTCAGCCTCCCCAGTGCTGGGATTGCAGGCATGCGCTACTCCACCCGGTCTTGGTGGCCTGCTTGGTGGCATGTGGTACCAAGGCTTGAACCCAGGTCCTTGTACTTGCCTAGGCAGGCGCTTAGTGTGCTGAGCTATCTCTGTGGCCCCATTGTCTCATTCAGAATTTAAAGACTTGTATTTTTGAAAGGATCTGCTTTTGTCTCTTCACTGGCCTCTAATTTGTGTAATAAATGATTTCTCTCTTTGAATGTAAAACATTTAAATGTTGACACTCTGTGGAACAGGGCAGCTCTTAACAGCGCACATGGTGTGCCCTGCAGCCACCAGGTAACTGCTTGAATTCAGAAACTGTTACTCCTGGTGACTCGGAGACTGCCAGCCCCCACCTGGGGCTGCAGCCCTCCCTGAGTCTGCACCTCCTAGGTTAACCGACCAAGCGACCTCAGAATTCACTGCACTGAGAGCCGGCACCTTCCCACAGCACGCCTGGCAGGGCGCACTTTGGACAGCTCTGCGCACTCGGAACCTGGGCGGCCCATCTGGGCCCGGTCTGTAGCAGTGGCCCTCTGGGTTCTGTTGCTGGCAGTTCAGGCTGTTTCCCTGGTGCTCTCTCCCTTTGTATTGGGGTTTGTCCCCAGGGCCTTCCCACCAAGCTGTATCCCCAGCCTCTTCTTGTTTTGAGACTGCATGAAATTCTCCTGTCTCATCTCTTCGCAGCTGTGATGGGAGGTGTGTGCCTGGCCACGCGGGTATCAGCAGCGTTTGCAGAACCAGAGTGTAGGCTCGCACCTGTGTCTGTGCATCCATTTTTGTGCACTCCCCTCGTGGTGCTGAGAGGCAGGTGGACCAACACGCTGAGTCTGGCAAAGGCCAACTCTTTATTTTCTTAAAATTACTTGGAAATTAATTCTGGGAAGGATTGGGCCACACACTGGAATGCTTTCGGGGGGAGTATGAAAGTTCTACTCTTGAAGATTTCCTCGTCACTCTTTTTTTAGGGGGAAGAAGAGGGAGTGCTTGAACTCCAGGGTTGTGTTTGATTTTGTGGCCTCCTACAACAGGCTTTGTACAGTGACCTCTCCTCTGTTGGACCAGCAACTCTGAGTACTCACTACAGTTTATACAGTACCCTTGAATTTCGGAGTCCCTCAATAAAACCATTGTTCTTAAATTGTCACTTTTATAAAACCTTCAAAAGAAACCCTAAAGATAATTCTTGTTGTGTGTTGGTCCAGGATGCCTCTCCTCCCCCAGTGGAAAAACCACTGAAAGAAATCTGAGGAAGGACTTTGTAGTTGTGCCGTCTGGTTTTGTAGTTAGTAGGACTTGGGAGGTAAAATACGTACTCTAAAAATGAAACTTCTTTTGACTAACGAAGAAAATATATTAAAAGTAGGGAAGTCTGATTAAGGTTCATTACTGCATTAATTTAGACACTATGGGAAAGACAGAGAAAAATGCAGTATTTAATAATTAAAATGCTGAGTTATTAGCATGACAGCTCTTTTGTAAGTACTTCATCAACCTGTGCTTTTCATTTTATCCCAGTTTGTCTGCATCGCGCAGCAAGATTACTGCCGTATCCTCAACCAAGTAGAGAAGAACATGCAGAAGGTAGAAGAGGAAGGCGAGATTGTCATGGTGAAAGAGCACCGAGAACTCGACCGAACTGGGACCAGGAAGGGCCACATTGTCATCAAGGTGAGGCAGAAGCCCCCTCCATCCCCAGCAGTATCTTTACGGCAGCCTCCTGCTTTTCATTTTTACATGCCATACCTCTTACCAGGTTATCAGTAGTAATGAAAAAAACATTATATTTCTTGATAAATAACAGTTTATTAATTATTACTAATACTACTGCTGAGCTCATGTTATGTTGAAGGTTTGAAATGCAGGTACTGTGTAACTGTTCGTTCGAGCTAGTACCCTAGCCTTTATTTGTTTACAGGGCACCTCAGAAAGGCTTACGATGCATCTGGTGGAAGAGCATTCAGTGGTGGACCCAACATTCATAGAAGACTTCCTGCTGACCTACCGGACTTTTCTCTCTAGCCCAATGGAAGTGGGCAGAAAGTTATTGGAGTGGTTTAATGACCCGACCCTCAGGGATAAGGTTGGAAATACATTATATCTGGCTCTTCAACATGAATTATTACAAATATGAACTTGTAGATAAGTTATTTAATAGAATGAGAAAACTTTAAACAAAAAAATTAATGCAGACATTATTTCTTGTTGTAGAATTCTAAGTTTAACCTTAGAAATGGATGTTTTTTTCTTTAAATCCAAAGGCTAATAAATTGGTCACCAAATGTTTACGTATTTAGAAGTATATTGGAACCTAACCTAACCTAACATCTGGACCCCTGGACTGTGCATTCTCTATTCAGGGACAGAGTTCACACAGCTGTCCTGTGTCGATGGCATTCACCCTGTCTCCATGTCAGTCGCCCCGCTTTGGTGGCGCTCACCCTGTTTCAGTGAGCTCTGGGCAGCACTGTCCATTACGGCTGTTCCTGTCCCGTCAGGTCATCCGCACAGATTCTCCATTGGCCGAGGGGCTCTGCTGAGGCCAGCTGGTAGCTTGCTGCACGCCGCAGTCTCACCTCTTTCCTTGGGTTCTTTCTAGGTTAACACCATTCACTTCCATGTCTATTTTGTCCTTTCACCGTTATTTTTTAGTTTTTTCATTTGTATTAACTGACTTTGGTTTTATTGTACTTTGTCTTTCATTTTGACCCCTCTAAGGATGCTTTGAAAGTATAGCAGGATGTTAAGTTAAATGCCTCTAGAGTCAGTCTCCCGCAGAGCTACATTTAAAGTGCACGTTTTCAGACAGTCTTTTTTTTGTGTGTGTGTATGAATAATGTGTTTGTTCAAAGTTTTATTGTAGTTTGTGCACTATTAGGTAAATTGTTTGACACTTGGGCATCTTTTACAAAATGACTTCAATCTTAGTACTGAAAGAAAGACAGCTTGCCGAAACTGCTTTTCCAGGTGACACGGGTAGTATTGCTGTGGGTGAATAATCACTTCAATGACTTCGAAGGAGACCCTGCGATGACTCGATTTCTAGAGGAATTTGAAAATAACCTGGAAAGAGAGGTAATAGTTGATTTTTCTAAAACGTATCAGCTCTAGGTTCCTTTTGTTCTGCCCATCTTTGAGCTTATACCAACCTTGCTTCACTCTTATAGAAAATGGGTGGACACCTAAGGCTGTTGAACATCGCCTGTGCTGCAAAAGCCAAAAGGAGGTTGATGACGCTGACCAAGCCATCCCGAGAAGCCCCCCTGCCCTTCATCCTGCTTGGAGGCTCTGAGAAGGGCTTTGGCATCTTTGTTGACAGTGTTGACCCTGGCAGCAGAGCAGCTGAGGCAGGCTTGAAGCGTGGGGACCAGGTGTGATGCTCCCAGCCCCAAGGAATGGTGGATTGTAGCATCCTTTTTCTCTTGAATAGTAACACTGACGTTTTTATAATTTCATGTTTAGATACTAGAAGTAAATGGTCAAAACTTTGAAAATATCCAGCTGTCAAAAGCCATGGAAATTCTTAGAAATAACACTCATCTATCTATCACTGTGAAAACAAATTTATTTGGTAAGTAGTTTTGCACTTTGATTTTTCTCCTTTTGTAGAGGGCATTTGTCTTGACATTTAGATCTCAGTTGTGAAAGGAATCGTTTCTATAAGTAATGTTTCAAACATCATAAGAATGTGAAATACATAAATATAGAATTTATTACATAAGCATGTAGTTAGGTCTAAATCAAAGTCTTTTAATGTCTATAAAATTTTTTATCTATTAATAAATGAAACCTATTTTCTTGATAAACACTAGAATACTTGTAAGGCATACATTACTTTCTTAATCTTCCACTGCTAAAGCGGCATACAAGGCAGATTTTTGGTGTCATTGAGAAGTGTTTTTTTCTATAGAATTTTAATTTTAGTAACTGAAGTCCATCTTTTTATATATTTCTAAGTTCTGTAGTTACCTCAGTTGTTCAGGTTTCTCGCAGTTGGTGTTTTATGATGCTTCTGTATCTATTTGTTTTAGTATTTAAAGAACTTCTAACTAGATTGTCTGAAGAGAAAAGAAATGGTGCCCCCCACCTTCCTAAAATTGGAGACATCAAAAAGGCCAGCCGCTACTCCATCCCAGATCTCGCTGTGGATGTAGAGCAGGTGATAGGACTTGAGAAAGTGAACAAGAAAAGTAAAGCCAATACTGTTGGAGGGAGGAACAAATTAAAAAAGATACTCGACAAGACTCGCATCAGTATCTTGCCTCAGAAACCATATAAGTAAGTCTATGTGAACTTCCTATGTGCCATTTCTTGTGATAAATAAGGCAGAGACAGTGCTGTGATTAATGTTTGTGCAGTAAGTGTTCCAAGCTTTCATGGACATTCTGAGAAGAAACCTTCGACAGTTGGGTTTGCTTTTACCACATGTACCTGCCTGCATGCAGCTTTTCTGGGGGTGGGCAAGAACGTCCTCAGCTGAGGTAATTTCCTCGTGTGCCTGCTTTCTGTGTCCCTCTCCGCACACAGTCCTGACCAGGTCTGTTTTCGGCTGTGGCTCGACAGCTCCCGCTCCTCACCACCGCACTCGTCACAGCTCCTTGGCCTGCATCCACCCTGTTTTCTTCTGTTACGTAATGGTGGCCAAGGCAGGAGTAACCCAGGGCAGGCTTTCCCTCCTTCTTCTGCCAGCTACACATGCAGAGCATTAAGAGGTGTCAGGCTTCTTCCAGGGGGTTCTCAGTGGTGTCCTGCTGTTCCTTAGTTGGTTCTGGGAGCTATGAGGAGCACTGAAAGTGACTTCTGCCATAGGAGCTGGTGTGGCAGGAAGGGGAGTGAGTAACGAGGCAGTTGACACTAGCAAGTTGTAGCTCATGGGTCAGGAACCAAATTGGAGAGGTTTTGGAAGTTGGACTGTACCTGTGTCAGGAGCTCAAGGTAGACAAAACTGCAGGTGTCTCTGGCACCTTTTTTCTTTCAAGCTTTATTTCTTTGCCTATTTTTTTCTTCACATCAGTTCTTGAGTCTATTAATGTTGAGCAAAACTCTTTATCTTCAGCATTTTTAAAAGCATTAAGTAACACAGAATGCCATGTTTAATTGTATGTTCCTAAAGGACAGTGCTATACAAGATAATAGCAGGTTAATTTATTTTTTGATAGGTTAATGTATCTAAAGAGAAACTATATATCCAGACATTTAGGATTACATTAAGCATCATTTTGTTTTGCTTTGTAAATTCCTTTTCAGATAAAATGCTCATCCACAAATTAGATATCATTTGCAACCTACTGTTGGGCTGAGTGTCAAACTGAGATTATGACCATTGTGGGTTTTTTTTTTTTTTTAATGTGTTTTAGAACTGTAAGACATTACTTACAGCTTGTGAAAGATATTTATTTTAAGTTTCTAGGAGTGATTAGATTAGGACAGCTGGCATTTACAGGAAATAGGAATCAGTTTTTTAAGTGACTCTGGGTGAAAAACTTAAGTGAATGAAAAAATAAATTGCTCAAATGCAGAATTATTAGCAGCACAACAACATACAAAGTTCTGAGGGTTGTGGGGTTTTTTGGGGGGAGGATGGGTCTACAGGGTGTTCAGGGTCTCACTACTAAATCGAGCTCATAATGATCCACCTCTTTACAGCCTCCCAAGAGCTGGGATTACAGGTGTGCACCACCATGCCCAGTCTCAGTGGCTGCCTCAGCGTACCCCAGGGGCGGGGCCGGCACAACAGGCCTGGGGATGGAACCCTCAGGGTGCTTTAATCTGCTGAGCTATTTGGCTGACCTGATGAGGGTTGTGTTTAACCATGACTTAAATGTGAATCTCGAAAAGGAATGAGAGAGGTCAGCATGACCTTGGGAAGTATTTGGAGAAGTGTGCCACCTAAGGTTTGGGTGGCAATTCATCCACGGTGTACGGGTTGACGAGGAGCTCTGCCCCAGACTGCCACATCTAGTTTTGTTCTGTGTCTGTTTGGAAGGATCCATAAAATCTAGAGAAAAAAGGAAGGAAACTAGCTTGATTCTAAAACACTAAGGAAACATTTTAAGCAAATATATGGCTCACTTAAGTATTTTCTCACTAAAATTCTTTGAAAAGTGTAGGATGTTATTGAAATGGAAAAGTAATTATAGTTAAAGGTTTATAGGATCTATTAGCATCTATTATAATCTAATAAACTGATTTAATACAAGTCATGGAGCTTTTCTAGAAATTAGTATATATTAGTGGGGGTCTTGGTTTTTGTTTTCTTTTTTGCTGTGCATTCTAAGTAAGTGTTGTACCTCTGAGCCATATTCCTAACATGTGAAGATTTTATTTCTTTAATGAAGCTACTAGAGTATAAATTACAGACATTTTCAAGTTTCGGGGCTGGGAAGATAGCTTGGTGGTCTAGGTGCCTGCCTGGCAGGTGCAAGGACCCAAGTTCCATCCCCAGTACCGCATCCTGTGCCAGCCCTGGGTGCGTGGGTGCGCCGTTTTGGCCCCAAAACTGGGCATGGTGGCGCACCCCTGTAATCCCAGCACTGGGAAGGCTGAGACAAGAGGATCACTACAAGTCAGAGTTGCGTAATATCACCTTGTATCGAATAAATAAAATTTTAAAAAACATTTTTAATGAAAAAGTCAAGTTTTGATATACTTGTGAGGTACTTTTTCCTCTTAAGCTATTATAGAAGCTAAGATGCTACATACTGGCCCATCGGCAGTGATAGGCATGCTAGAGTGGTGTGCATATAGTGAGGAAAGAGGTACAGAATTCGAAGCTGGTTGCTAGGTAATTAGAGAAAGCGGGGTGAGCCTAGGGGGAAAAAAAGTAAGTTTATAGCCTGCACAGTCAACAAAGGCTAAGAAGCAGCATCAGTAGCAACAAAAGACTTCGAGAGACTGAACATAAGCGCTTGTGCTCATTGGGATGATTCTGAATTAGGTCTTTCCTGATACCAAGCACTCTCAGTCCAAGAGTATCCCTAGGTCTCTGCATAGATGCTCATGTGGGGTGTTAAAGCGTCACTGAGAAGCACAGTGGGAGGCAGTGTGCTTGTGTTCGTGGCTGTTGGTGCTGAGGGCCCAGCTCAGAGCGACTGTGTGCGACGCATCACCCTTGCTAGTTGTCAGAGGCTGGACTGTACGGTTGTGTAACAAAGTCGTACTGATGCGAAGGGCCTTAACTCCGGCATAGCTTGCAGTCTCTCGATACTTACCTTTGTACCCTTACGTAGACATGTAACTTCTGCGCTCACTTTACACTAACTTCTTATTTATGATGGCCTAGTTTACGTTGCAATCTTACAATAAGTGTATTGATTTTCATTTCAAGAAGCTTATAGAAAGTTAACTGTAACCTATTATTAAATCATATTTCAAGAATTGCCAACAGCAACAGCTTTTTATAAACGGAAATGAGTTTGTAGTCATCAGTAATAACCAGTGTTTTTCTGGGAACTAAATTGTATAACTACAATTTTGAACAGAGAATCAAAAGTGACTTGTTAGACTTCCATAGCCTTTTCTTTGATGCTAGGAAATGTCATCTTGCATAATTGGCCTTTTATGTGTGAAAGTTAAGAAATGATGTCTATGTCAGGGTTTCTTACATCTAACTCCATAGTGATGTTTTTCTTCCTAAACATTAGTGAATAAAATTAGAGTGGTTTGGACTTTCCCTTTCTATTCATTTTACTGAGCTTTATCAGTTCTTAGGGCTTGGCTCATGAAATAGTATATCCTTCTGATGAAAGAGCATCGAGTGAGTGAGTATATACTTTGCAATGTGCTTTTGCTTAAATCCGTTTCCATCAGAAACTGAAGATCATATTTCCTTCAGTGTATTTTTATACTGAAAAACTCCATATAGTGCTTGTGGCTTGTCTACTTAGAAAGACAGGTATTAGCGAAACGCGTGGTACACTCAGGAAAGATCAGAGTGGGTTGGATACACTTCAGCAGTAGTGACTTCTGCAATTTTTAACCAAATTTATTAGTGTCATTTTTTATATTAATTGAGTGCTGAATGACTATGACCCGTAATGTTGTAACTTGCTGATAGTTTTCTGGTTTCTCTCTGTGCAGTGATATTGGGATTGGTCAGTCCCAAGATGACAGCATAGTGGGGCTGCGGCAGACAAAGCACATCCCAACTGCCTTGCCTGTCAGTGGGACCTTGTCATCCAGCAACCCTGACCTGCTGCAGTCACATCATCGCATTCTGGACTTCAGTGCCACTCCTGGTGAGTGTGCCATGCTTCTTTCTGTCTGTAACGTAACAGCGATACCACATGCGTGTCTCAGTTGGTACAGATTGTATCAGATGCTAAAATTCAGATGGATCATAATTCCAAATCATCACAACCAGTTGTCGTATCCTGTGGAGTGTTTTGATACAGCCGTGGGCATGTTAAGTTCTCTATACTTGTTTCTGTTTTGACACAATAAAGATAGCACATACCTTCCTGTTACTGCAAAGTCATGTCACATAAATAAGAGTAGAAGGCATAGATTACATTTTGTATGCTGAAGATTAGGGTTCACGTTCTCTTTCTTTGGCACCCAGGTGATCATCTTATGCTTGTGCCATTTGGCAGCGGAGCAGTAGTGCAGTGTGGTGACAGCTTCCTGTCACTGTTAGGGAGGCTCTTCTCAGATTACTTCACTTAATCGCAGTCCCAGGTATTGAAGGCATTGCACCTAATTCCATGTGGCTTTTTTTTTCCTGCAGACTTGCCAGATCAAGTGCTGAGGGTATTTAAGGCTGACCAGCAAAGCCGATACATCATGATCAGTAAGGACACCACGGCGAAGGAAGTGGTCATCCAGGCCATCAGGGAGTTTGCCATCACTGCCACCCCAGATCAGTATTCCCTCTGTGAGGTCTCTGTCACCCCCGAAGGCGTCATCAAACAAAGACGGCTTCCAGATCAGCTGTCCAAACTTGCTGACAGAATACAACTGAGTGGAAGGTACACGCTGTCTACCTGCAGCACAGCAGAGGGGTTTTAAATGGCTGAAAGCCCTAACTAGTGTGTGTGTGTGTGTGTGTGTGTGTGTGTGTGTGTGTGTCCCATCATTCCTGATTCAGGGTCAGTGAGCACGGGTGGGCTGCTGAGCCCTGTCACTGACAGCGGACAAAGCACCACTGACTTCTCACTGAGCAAGCCTGGGCATGAGTGTGCACAGTGCTGCATGCTGCCTCGAGGAGCTGGGCCAGGTAGAGATACCGGCCTGCAGCTCCTGTGGTATGGGGCACTGGAAAATGCTTCCCAACCCAGACTTCAACACCTGCAGAGCGTGGGCCTGTCACACATGCTTGTAAGCATCTCTGTCACACTGCTCTGGTTGTGTCATTCCTGTCAGTGATACTCCCATTGATAGGGGTATGTAATTTGTCCTTAAACCACAGATAATTAAAAGTTGAAAAAACACTTACGTTTTGGCTCTTACGTAATGATTGGATTCTGTACTACATGAAAAGTAGTTCCAAAGATACCTTTTTAAAAATTGCCTCGTTTTATGGGATGTTCCATTGCATGTGACTTTTTCATATAATAGATCTAAACTAATTGAATTTATTCAAAATGTGTTTCCTTGCTGTCAGCTGTAATCTTTCTGCTTTTAGTTCCACCCCTAGTGCTAGCAGTTTCATTTTTTTATAGGATTTTCTCAGTTCTCATCTGAATATACGTTGATAACTGTAGTCAGTGATATAGTTCTGTAGTTCCTGAGCTGCAGATTCATGGTTTACGCTCAGTATGCTGGGAAATTACAGATGACCCTTGTCTGGACTTTCTGAGTAATCAGAGTGTGGACATCATGACGCCTACGAGCACTGAGGGCCGAGATACGGGTCCTCTGTCAGAGGTCTCGTGAATCATGAAACAGAGCAGCTCAGTGGGACCCTGTGCTCGTTCCCCTTTCTCATATATGGGCTTTCACTTGAGACAGAGAATCTGTTCTCCAAGAAAGAGAGCAAGGAAGAAAATCGCAGAACAAACATCTGATGCAGTTTCCAGCAGATTGCTTAAGTAAAAAAAGATGGCCCAGCTCTGAGATCTGTTCCACGTTAGGGTCCAGCCTTCTAACTGACAGGGATATGCTTGCTCTGCTGTCCTGTGGGACTTTCATGAAGAGCCATGTATTTAAGAATTCGAATCTGTTTTAGGATTCTTTCATAGCATCCAACAGAAGAAACAGCTTATAGGTTTCTTGACCCTTTGAGTAAGTAGTGGCTCCGAAATGGTCTTGGTGGAACCACCCGTGTTCTCTCCCTCTCTTCACTTGGTCTGCTGCCTTCTCTAGGGCCCTTGCCCTTGTTTACATTCAGAAATGGCTTTCTTGGGGCTGGGGAGTTGGCTCAGTGGAATAAGTGCTTCCCTGGCAGGTGCAAGGGCCTGAGTTCAATCCCTGGTTCCGCCAAAAAAAGAAAATAGCTTTCTTGAACTGGGGAGATAGCTCAGTGATCTGAGCACATGCTTGGCAAGCACAAAGACCCAAGTTTGATCCCAGGTACCACATGCCATGCTGGCTGTTTTGGGCATAGTAGGGAGACTGTAATCCCTATAATCCCAGCACCACCTGTAATCCCAGCACTGGGGAGGCTGAGACAGGAGGATCATCATAGTCTGAGTGTAAAGAGACCTTCTACCAAATAAATATAGGTTTCTTTCATCATCTTTAATAATTATAGCTGGTACAAAATAAATTTCTTTTTAAAAAATTTGTTTAAAGAATAAAAAAACATAAACAATATAGAATTCCACTAAACAAAGAAATTTCATGAACTTTTCCCATCTCCCTCCTCTGTTCTCTCTGGGCGCTCTGAGATCTGGTGCCCAGGGCAGCACTGCCCAACTTGATTGAAAAGAAATGTATTGCTGTTTGATTCCAGCTTCTTTCATCAGAGCTGGGATGTTATGGGCTGCTGGGCAGGCTGTACGCCTGACACCTTCCTGTTTTTCTGGAAACAGGTATTATCTGAAAAACAACATGGAAACAGAGACTCTGTGCTCCGATGAGGACGCGCAGGAGCTGCTGCGCGAGAGCCAGATCTCCCTGCTGCAGCTCAGCACCGTGGAGGTCTCCGCGCAGCTCTCCGTGCGCAACTTCGAGCTCTTCCGGAACATCGAGCCCACGGAGTACATAGATGATTTGTTTAGGCTAAGGTCGAAAACCAGCTGCGCCAACCTGAAGAGGTTTGAGGACGTCATTAACCAGGAAACGTTTTGGGTAGCCTCCGAGATTCTTCGAGAGACAAACCAGCTGAAGAGGATGAAGATCATTAAGCATTTCATCAAGATAGCGCTGCACTGCAGGGAATGCAAGAACTTCAACTCCATGTTTGCGATCATCAGGTGAGAGTGTCTTTCAGTGGCATTCAGGAAGGCCGCAGAGCACGGAGCTGGTAGCTGACTCACTCTTGGCAGTGCCGCAGCTCAGCCCAGGCCGACACGTGCAAGCCTGTAATTGATTCAAAACAGTCATTGTTTTCTCCAGTACTTACTGCTTAATTTAAAATCTTCCGTGTGCTGCTGGGGAGTCGTGAGTCTACATCTACCACTTCTCTTTTTAAAGAATTCCTGAACTTAAGTTTATTTTTCCATAAAATAATAATACCCCAAAGCATTATCAAGAACATTAAATGACACAATGCATGTGAAGTTCCACCAGTTAGCACAAGGCAGATGCCCAATAAATGTTAACTTTTGTCCCGTTAAGTGCTTAGAGTGGGCCCAAAAGAAAATACAGATGGAAGCAATGAGTTAGGCTACAGTTGAAGGCAGTGAATTATTAATCACCTTTTCTGTCTAGTGTACTGTTCTCTCGGGACCACCGTGGCGTATGTTTATTTTGATGCTCTGCAGTCCTTGCCAGTCCACTTCATCGGATGCCTACTCTGGCCCAAGTGGCTCTGTGTACGCAGAGAGCACAGGATTTCCACAGCAGTCTTGCTGGCACGGTGGTAGTCATCTTTCTGCTCTGATAGGAACACCCGAGATAATGAAGAGTGATTTTGCAGGCGTCCGTCTTCCTGCTTGGGCCTTGGGCGAGGCAGCGCAGCATTGTGCAGACACATAGTGGAGCACAGCTGTTCCCCTCAGGGCTGGGACTCAGTTAAGACTAGGTGGGTCCCCGCTGTGCGGTGGCATGCTTCCTGCGACCTGAACCTGAGACTCCCCCTCGCCAGTCCCTGCCTTTTACAGTGTTCGCCCACAGCCTCAGGTCACTTCACAGGCTGGGCCTTTGAAGGAGATCCAGACCGTAGGAGACAGGACGCAGGCCAGGGTGGTATGACAGGAAGCAGAGCAAGCCCGGGGCCTGCGCCCTGACCCACTTGTGCCTGTTGTTCTTCTTACCCAGGGTCACTGGGACGTTTCCTCCACACTCTTCTCAGTATTCACACTGAAGGGCTCATGTAACTGATCCCACTTTCCTTTTCTCTGTCAGTGGCCTGAACCTGGCACCAGTGGCAAGACTTCGGACTACCTGGGAAAAACTTCCCAATAAATATGAAAAGCTGTTTCAGGATCTCCAAGACCTGTTTGATCCTTCCAGAAACATGGCAAAATACCGCAACGTCCTCAACAGTCAGAACCTGCAGCCTCCCATCATCCCCCTATTCCCAGTCATCAAGAAGGACCTCACATTTCTGCACGAGGGTAGGATGATTATGAGGTTTCTGCCTGTACATCTAGCAGACATGTGGCCCAGAGCCAGCTGATTTCCTTTTTCTCATCTGCTGAATTGCAGGGAATGACTCAAAAGTAGATGGGCTGGTCAACTTCGAAAAGCTCAGGATGATTGCCAAGGAAATCCGTCACGTCGGCCGAATGGCTTCAGTAAACATGGACCCAGCGCTCATGTTCAGGACTCGGTGAGTGGAGCCACTCGTGGTTCCTGAGGGACTAGAGAGGTCACCTTAAAGCTTCCCTTCAGGGAGATAGATTGTAGCGGGTGTGTTTGCCGTATGGCAGAAATCACTTTTGAATCACCATTGATCTTCACCATGAAGTAAATGCTTATTAGCATGAAGCACACTTTGACTATGTAAGAGCAGTCTGTCCTCCAGAGAGTTTTTACCTAGCCTGAGTCACAAGTGTTTGTGATTGTTCCTGAGGACTTTGACCTGTAGAGTCATAACCCAAAGTGGTTGTTTAAACTAAAATTTGCAGATGCCCCAAACAGTACTGTCTCTGTGTCCACATGCTTCATTCAGTAAAGGAGACAAGCCTAGTCTGTCTTCTTCTAGAACAGAAAAATTTACATTTTCTTTAGCCAGAACAAATGCTTCTAGGAAAGTGGTGGTTGGTTGAATGTTTGTGGGCTGCTAGGACTGCTTGCCCTGAAGTCCAGGCCTTTCTTTCTGAGCTTGTGACCTTTCTGTCTTTCTCTATACCCATGCTCCAACCTCCTCGGCTCTCACTTACAGGAAGAAGAAGTGGCGCAGTCTGGGGTAAGTGGCGCAGAGCTCAGCCCACACTCCGCTCAGGCTCGCTTAGCCCGTTGCATCGTTCTCTTCCCTTACTCTCTTCTGGCGCTTTGCAGTTTCAACTTATGCTCTCTAGCTGAGTTTCTGTTGGCAAACTGACTTCAGTGTCATCTGTGAGGCTTCTGAAGTCATGAACCGCCAGAGCTGTGAAATGATTGATGACTATCCTGGGGAACTGTAGACCAGGCATATTTCTGAGGTCCAAGAAAGATTTTATTTTCGTATGATTTGTGTGTCTTGGAAATGAGAAAAGCCTCGAATGGGCGGCGGGGGTGGGGGGATTAGAAGGAAAGCCTGTGCAGTTCAGTAGGATTGCACAGATACTGGAAGTCAATACTGTAAATATAGAAGGGGCCCCAAATGTTAAGGCCAGATTTTTACAGCTCAACTAACTACTGTTTCATTCTGTATAAACCAATTCTTGTTAAAAACAATTCTTAACAATTTATGCGCTAAGTAGTTTCCATATACAGATGTTTATTTTGCATGACTGTAGTATTAACAGATTGACCATATACCTAAAATCTTACCACATTCTACTCAAGGAATAAGAAACTAATTGGGAGCAATGTAGCTACTTTACTTAAATCTGTACAAAACATATCAAAGAGAATGTAACATCGTGAAGCTGAAATGACTAGAGCTATGTAGTCTTGCATGAGCTTTTTATATGATTATTGTTTGCTGGCTTCTATAAGAATGCTCTGAAGAGATGAGAGCAAAATTTCTTAGTTGGAACAGAACCAGTACCAAATTTAAGTGTTTCCATATGTGTTATGGATAGCTCTTTTTTAACCGCAGATTTTTGAGTCTGTAGTACCGTCTTCCTTTCAATGGTGTGCTTACTGAAATGGCGCATGCGGCCTTTCGAGTGTAGACTGGCAGCCTTCGCGGTCACCGTGCCAGAGTGAGTTGCCTGTCCTTCCTCCCCCCTGCAGGTCTCTCAGCCAGGGAAGTGCCAGTGCAGCAGTGCTCGACGTTGCCCAGACGGGCGGGCACAAAAAGCGGGTGCGCCGCAGCTCCTTCCTGAATGCCAAGAAGCTCTACGAGGACGCCCAGATGGCTCGCAAGGTGAAGCAGTATCTGTCCAGCCTGGAGCTCGAGATGGACGAGGAGAGCCTGCAGACACTGTCGCTGCAGTGCGAGCCAGCAGCCAGCACGCGTGAGTGCTCCCGGGGGCTGCGGGCCCGTAGGCACAGTGGCCCTGGGTAGAGCTGTGCGCTGCTACTGCAGGGCCAGCCGCAGTCTGGAGGTGGAACAGCGGCCTCACCGGCCAGGCCCTCATTTCAGCCAGGTCAGTGTGCAGGAGGATGCCGTGAGCGCCTTCGGCCGCCTTCGGCCGCCTTTGGTCTCACCCCAGCCCAGTCAATACCCAGGCCCTGTTCGCAGCCTTTTAATTCTAACCAGACCCCTCACTAGGCAGGTGCGTGCAGTCGGGAGGCTGAGGCGGGAGGATGTCTGCCTGAGCGCAGGCATTCGGGACAGTCAGGCAGCGCAGTGAGCCCTGGGTCTTGGAAACGTCAAGGGTGGGCCTGGGGTGGAGTGTAGAGTGTCTGCCTGGCTCAGTCCCTAGCACCACAAGTGAAACTGAAAGCTAATAAGAAATCCAGCAACTTGCAGCTGTCCCATGGGCATCACTGGGCAGTGCTGGCTGGGAAATGGTGAGTTTTCTGAGGAGCCCAGGAGGAAAGTGGCCCGGGACAGTGCAGGTGGGCAAGAACTGGTGCTGGGCAGGGTCGTTGGAGCTCAGGGCCTTCGTCCCTCACTAGTGTGGCCTAGGGAAGCCACCTGGGTCCTAGTTCTTAGCCTGAGTGCACGAGCCTGGGCAAGTACACATCACAGAGTTGTGGGGGATTAAGGCTCTTTGCGGAGAATATTTAGTTGTCCCGTGGAGTTACGTAGTGACACATTTGGTGTAAGCTGTCGCCGTGGCTGGTGCTCGCCCAACCAGGTAACCCCCATGGGACGCTGATAGAGTGCAGTGAATAGCATTAAGTTAGCCTCTAGCAGGTGCATGCTGGTGCTTCAGAGACCACGTTAGAGAAATAGGTCCTCACGATGCTCCTTCTGTAGTTCTTAGAATGTTTGCTTTTTATATGTATTCATGTGACATTGAATCACCCATATTTTCTGTTTGTTTTTTGGTGGCACTGGAGCTGGAACTCAGGACCTTTTACTGACCAAGCAGGCACTTACGCCACTGAGCTATATCCCCAGCCTTCTGTTATTTTTGATTTGATGTTTAACAGTATAATCATCATTTAAGATTACTAAATTGATAAATATCTTTATCCTGCCTTGCTTCTTGTATTTTCTGTAACAAAGGTTTTCCTCCCAGTTTCTTTCTTTTATCTCTTTTTGTTTCTGTTTTTGTTTTTGTCTTGTGAGACAGGACATCACTGTCTAGTCCAGGCTAGCCTTGAACTGAGTATGTAACCCAGGCTGGTCTCAAACTCTCTGTGATCCTCCTGCCTCAGCCTTCCCAGTGCTGGGCTTATAGGTATGTGCCACCACGCCTGGCAGTTTCTGTCTTTTATAAGGCAACAGGAAAAAAGATGTATATTACAGTATTCTCTGCGTAGAAAATGCTTGTGTGCTCCTAAAATTACCTCCTACATAACTCCAAACATCTTAAACTCTTTATTGTGTTTTCAAACCTAACATTTCACAGTGCCTAAGAATCCTGGTGACAAAAAGCCTGTGAAGTCTGAGACCTCCCCTGTGGCACCGAGGGCAGGGTCACAGCAGAAAGCACAGCCGCAGCAACCGCTGCCACCACCCACGCAGAAGGTCAGCCAGGGCCTGCAGGTGCCTGCCGTGTCCCTGTACCCTTCCCGGAAGAAGGTGCCCGTCAAGGATCTCCCGCCCTTTGGTGAGCGCTGCCACAGCTCTGCTCCTGAGAACAGGGGAAGAGGTCTATCCTGGGTACCTTGGTCCAGTATCCTTGAGTTGCTCTGTTATTTTTGCCTGATAAAACTATTCAGCAAGCTAAACTCTGCTTTTGCCAGCTGGAGGGGCTATGTGCAGATAAATAATAGCTCATTTATTTACACTCATTTGTCACAGCTAGGTGAGAGAGAAAAATGGAGAGGTTTTTGGTTCCCTAACTTAATGTTTACAAATATAGAGGTTACTTTTTTATATACATTGTTTAATTTGTTTTCAGTGTGTTGCAGAAGCGAACGGAGAGTATTTTTAAGTTAAATGTGCTATCTAGTGGTGACTTTTAATTGTAGCGGTGCTGGGGCTCGAAGCCAGAGCCTCGCCAGTGCTCAGCGTGGGCACAGCTCTTGCTGGTGTGGCCACGGGCTCTGTAGGCCCAAGCAGTAGAAACACAGACGGAGCCTGCCTATAACTGAAATCACGGCTTATCTAGTTCATTCTCCTAATGTAAAATGTACTGATATTTTTCTGCCTATAAGTGGAGAAAATAATGTTAACAAAAGTGAAGAATTTGTTTTAGAAAGTACAGCAGAGTTTGTCTGCTCACCATGGCCATTGTGGCAGGGCTCCTGCCTCTCCTGGGCCTTGCTTTTGTCCATCCTCAGAGTCTGGCCAGCTTATGTGACATGCATGGGGGGAGTGTGAGCATGGTGCCCCTCTGCCTGGCAGTGACACTGTGATTTCTGGTCACTGGGCTGGGCCCGGCCCAAGGCCAGGACCCTGGCGCACCTGCACTCTGTGTGGAGGGTTGCCCATCACACTGCAGCCAAGAAATGGGCTGTCACCGCACGCACGCATGCAGGAGATGCAGGCACACCTGAGGGTCGAGTGCCTGCAGCACCGACTGACCGGAGCACAGGGCCCTTTCGAAGCCTCGAGTGATTTCTGGCCCCACCCGCTCCTGCATGACAGCCGTCCCGAGGCACACAGCTGAAGGGCCTGGCACAGTCTTCCAAGGCTTAGTGTTTTCACACTTCCTGCATTATTTGAGAGACAGTGCTTTCTGAATCTGTGTAGTGCTAGTCTTAGAAGGAGGCTGTTTGAAAACCAAAGTCATTCATGTAGCTTTAGTGTAGTTGGTATTTGCACACACCTTATGGCTGTTCGTATTTTGTCATGTGAAATACAGCTTTTTCCCAAAAGACACTGTTGGGGGCCGGGGAGATGGCTCAGTGGAATAAGCGCTTCCCTGGCAAGCACAAGGGCCTGAGTTCAATCCCTGGTTCCACCAAAAAAAACCCCAAAAGATACTGTTAAAACAGCATCAGACCACTTGCATGAGGTGGGCTGCTAGCGTAAGTTGAGATACTTTCAGGCTGTCACTGCTTTCCAGAAATCTCTGTTCTTAAGCTCTCAGGGAGTTGAGAATGCCTCGGAGTAATGTGAGTTGCTATGTAGTGTTCTCACTCCTGCAGAATAGCTGGGGGTCGTCTCATGTGCTGTGAGCCCTCACCTGCCTGGACCTCCACACCTCCTGAAGACCCCCCCCCCAGCCTCTCACATTTCTCCTGCCTTGTTTGTCTGTTTACTTGATCACATGTTACGAACAAGCAGCCCCTTGGTGCCCTTGACTGTCTTTCCTAACTGGCTCCTATACCTCCGGGCCCTTTACTTTTTCCCTAGCATTCCCCTTTCCCCAGAGTTAACTGCCCAATAATAATACCTGCTTCCAACCAATCTTGAGTTCAGGTTACACCATGTAACCCTGAATTCAGATGTTTTCACATTGTCTGTTTTTCTTTGTTGTTGCCAAAACATTGTTAAAATATGGTGACAGGAGGTTTGGAATCTAGAGTAAAACATCAAAAGCTACCTATTTCTAGTCCTCTGGGAGTCAGAAGCCAAAGTAATGTTACTATTTATATTATGAAGAATGTGAAGAACAATAAGTTATAAATACATAGAAATGGTGAAACAATAAATCTTAACATAGTTTTTTAGTCATTACTATTTCTTCTGGGTCTTAAAAATACACATGTAACTTGTTTGTTTATTTTTATAGGTATAAACTCTCCACAAGCTCTAAAGAAAATCCTCTCCCTGTCTGAGGAAGGGAGTCTGGAACGGCACAAGAAACAAGCTGAAGACACGATATCAAATGCATCCTCACAGCTCTCTTCTCCTCCCACTTCTCCACAGAGCTCGCCCAGGAAAGGTAGGCCACAAATTACGTCTTCCTCTACAGTAACCCGTGTGCAGTTACGTAAGTTCCCACTTAATGTGTAATTTCTAATATTATACTCATTTAAAATGATTTCATGATGTTCAATGGATTTTTTTCCCTCAGCTTATGCATTTGGAAGAATTTTCATGTTTTTAATATTACGAAAGGATAGCATCATACTTAAAACTTACACAGTTTTCTTAAATATCCATTTGCCTTTACTGATCCTAAATGTGCAAAGAATTCTTTTTCTATTAAAATTTGTTCTAAGTAGATGTGATTATATACCTTTATAGACTGAACTTCCCTAGTTTACTTGCCATCGTATTGGCGCAGGTCTTGGTTACCTTTTCCTGGCCGTCCTGATTGTGAGGGGCCTGCATCCCAGCCCCCTCATGTGTTGTGCTCTGCGTACAGAAGCAGCCCCCAGTGCTCCTGTGGCCCTGCCCTGAGTTGTGGTGGCCACCAGCTGTGATGTTATTATCCCTAGCAGAGTCCCAGAGCATTGAACTCCTTACTAGACATCTCTGCCTCTGCCACCACGGCCCTGCCCATCGCTGTTTGAGACGTGGGGCTTCACGCGTGCTGGGGGCATTCCAGGGCCCAGGTAGGTGGATCCTGTGGTCAGGTGGCAGTGGTGCTCAGCTGAGGTGTTGTAGCTTGGGGATGTGGACTTAACCAGTTCCTCCTCTTCTCTTGGAAGTGAGAACAGTAATAAGAATAACAGTGTGGTGTGGACCCCTGGGATAGGTGGTGCTTTGAGCACCACACCTGGGCAGCGGGCGAGAGGAGTTAGCTCCATAGTGGAGAGATGGTCGACCCTTCCACGTGTCCAGCTCTGCGGCAGAGGACCGCTTGCCTGGAGACAGTTGTCTTGTTTTTGAATGGACTTTTGAGGAAAGGACTTAAATTGCATCTGTCAGGACTTGCAGTATGGTTTATAGATATTTCATACATGAACACGTTGAATCTCATCAAGACCTTGTGTAACTTTTAAAAAATAAACCAGGAATACCAGGTTTCTGAAAGGATGGGAACACTTAAATTGGCGAATTTAGGTACTCTAGATGTATTTTATTTATAGATATTTATTTTGTGATAAACGAAATCTTAAAATTTATATTGTATGTGATTATATTAAATCATTTTTAACTCACATGAGATCCTTAGTAATGTACAACAGGAAAAAAAGAGTGTTGAGAAAGAATATTTGGATTCTTTTTTGTTTCCATTAAAAATGGCCTGGAACCGGGAGTGGAGCCTCTCACCTGCGGTTGGGCTCTTCGGAAGGCCGAGGCCGAGCTCTGTAGTCGGCAGCCGAGCACACAGCTGAGCTGTCCGAAAACAAACAGCACAGTGTTTACAAGAGCTTGGGAGTGCAGCACAGGAGTAGAGTAGCCCTGGCTTCAGTCCCCAGTACTACACACGCGCATGCACACACACACACGTACGTATGTATGTATGTATGTATGTATTTCCAGGTGAATTGTTACATGCCCTACTTTTTGATTCTAAAAATTAAAAACAAGATCACTCACTTCACAGTTTAAAAGAGTACTTGTGTACTCTTGCTGGTGTCGGTGTGCACACCCACACTTACATTACAGTCCCAGTGCTCAGGTGGCCAAGGCAGGAGGGTCACTGCAAGCAGGAGGCCGGCCTGGAATACGTATACCCTGTCTCAAAGAACAATAACAGAAGCAAAGAAAAAATAAGTGTCTGCTCTTTAATCCTTGTGCGTTGGCTTTGCGCTTGTGGGGCCGGGCCGGGCCGGGCCGGGCCGGGCCGCGGCCGATGCACAGGTGCTCTTGCTGCTGAGCCGCGCCCTCAGCAGGGTTTCTTTATGAACCAGGTGCTGTAGCAGTGTGGCTGCTAGCAGCCCACAGAAGCCAGGATTAGCCAAGCAGTGCCATCTTCTTAGCATGCCTTTATATGTATTTCTTTTCATTCCCTCACCACAGAGTAAGGAGATTACACTTCATTAGAGTAGAAATGTAATCAGTCTTTCAGTCACTGGTCTCTAAGTTAAACAGAATCCCACCTGTGTGGCTTCTCCCTGGTGGCCTTGGGTCGGTGCGTTGCCCAGAGCATCTCCATGCTCAGGCACCTGTGTTCCTCCCTGTGCAGGTTACACTCTGGCTCCCAGCGGCACTGTGGATAACTTCTCAGATTCTGGGCACAGCGAGATCTCATCACGGTCTAGCATCGTCAGCAACTCTTCCTTGGACTCTGTGCCCGTCTCCTTGCGTGACGAGCGGCGGCAGAGGCACTCCGTGAGCATCGTAGAGAGTGGCCTGGGCGCCGGCAGGATGGAGCGGCGGGCCACGCTTGAGCCGGACCAGCACAGCCTGGGGTGGGTGGCCCGCCCGCCCGCCCGCCTGCCTGCGTGGTGGTTGTGGTCCACTTCTGTTGAGTTTCTTGTTCTCTGGGCATGGTCGCTATGTCAGTTGTGCTCAGTGTCAGTGCCACATGGCTGTCATGAGTCAGGTTTGTTGTTTGTGGCGCAGTTGTTCTGTGCTGAGGCCAAGGGCCGTAGGCTGTGTCCCTGGCCCTGCTCAGATGTCAGACTGCACTGAGCCATCCTTCACCTCCGAGGGACACTGTCCCTTTCTTTTAAGTGACTCTTTTCCCTGTGTCTGTCCTCTAGTACGCACTGACTGAGTCTCAGAGCAGACACAGCACTGCCTTGGTTATGGGGGGCTCAAGGTAGCGCCTCCTCTCTGAGGTGGGACAGGGAGCTGCCTTTCTGGGAATGAAGGCTTTTAACCGTCATGCCCTTTTTTCTTCATCATCCTCTGGCTGTGTAGGTCCTATGCGCCCATGACTGAGAGCCGGGGCTTGTATGCCACCGCAACCGTCATTTCCTCTCCAAGTGCCGAGGAGCTCTCCCAGGACCAGGGCGACCGTGCGTCCCTGGACGCCGCTGACAGTGGCCGCGGGAGCTGGACATCATGCTCCAGTGGCTCCCACGACAACATCCAGACCATCCAGCACCAGAGGAGCTGGGAGACACTGCCGCTCGGGCACACGCACTTCGATTACTCTGGGGACGCTGCGGGGCTGTGGGCTGCCAGTGGCCACGTGGACCCCATGATGTTTTCTGAGCACAGCATGAAGTATAGCAGGCAGAATCAAAGTAGAGAGAGTCTTGACCAAGCCCAGTCCCGGGCCAGCTGGGCCTCTCCCACAGGCTACTGGGGAGAAGACTCGGAGGGCGACACAGGCACAATCAAGCGAAGGGGTGGAAAGGATGTTTCCCTGGAGGCCGAGAGCAGTGGCCTGGCATCTGTGCCAGTGTTGGAGGAACCCAAGCCCGGCCCCACTCCCGCACATGTGGCGGCTGCCTCGAGTGCTGCCAAGGGGCTGGTTGGTGAGTCTAGAGACCAGGTTGGGCTGGAGCGTCTTATCCTAGAGTGGGATGTGTGCGTGTGTGTGTTCATGCTCATGTGCACGCATGTGTACACTCTCATGTGGTGTCCACTGTTGTCTGGAGTGTTCAGCTCGGTGGAGGGCTGGGGACTTTGGAGTGACAGTGGGTGTGAGCCCAGGCTCTGTGGTCCAGTGCAGTGCAGCAGTGACACGTGGGTGAGCGTCAGCGCTCAGGGCCCCTGGGTCACTGGAGGCATTTCCCAATCTGGGTATTTTTTTTTTCCTTTGCAATCTGCAAAAAACCAGGATGGATTCCCACGCTTCACAGAGGAAGTATTTTCCTTTCACTGAAACTGAGCTATTTATTTCTTTTGTTCTCTTGATTTATATTTGGAGCTTTATCCTTTGCATGTGGAACATCTTCATTGACAGCCCTCTGCAGACACCTCTGTGTGTAGAGCAGACTGCCAAGCTCGTGCAGGAGAGCAGCAGGTTTTTGTGTCAGGTGGGTGGGGTTGTCTCTGGCTTTATGACACCAGACAGAGCACAGAACCCTGCCTGTTACCACCTGTCAGCATTCCTAGGCTCCTCTAAGTCACTGGATATGAGCCTGGGCGTGCACTGCCCGGGCTGCCCAGCAGCGAGGACCCGGCACCCGACTGAGGCCCTGAGTCCCAGAGCCGTGGAAGCACACATGTCCTGGGGTGTTTGACATCTCTAATGGCAATGTGAGAGCAGAAGGTGTAGAAGGAGAGCTTCTGAAATACCCTTTTGTTAGTGGGGAGTGACAGGCACTACTCTTATTAATGGAGGAATTAGGGTTGGTTTGGTTCTGGTTCTGGTTCTGTTTTGTTTTTGAGATAGGGACTCTCCAACCCAGGCTGGTGTGCACTACCAGCCACGCCCTGCAGAGTCCCCAAGTTCCTTTGCAGTGCAATCTGGAGATGTCACAGTTGCTGCCCTTTCTCAGTGAATAAGGAGAGAACAGTGGAAGTTGTATGTAGGTCTGTCACTTTCAAGTGCTTCTGTTAAGATGGAAGATCAGAATTTTTGGTGTGAAGAAAGGATGATGTTTTAGTTCCTAACATAAGAGTCAGCTCAAAAACACAAAAATTTTTCTTTTCCTGCACAAGTTCCATGTAGTTAACATTAGTAAAAGGATGTTCAGAAAAACAAACATCCTACAGTTTGAGTATTAAATTGACTTCAGGGTTATGTGTGCACTGCTTTCCCACATTTCTTTCACTGCCCTGTCTCCCTGGGGCCAGGGAGCTGTGTGCCGGTTCTGGCCACAGTGGGTGGACGTGAAGGTCCAGGTCTGCAGGGCTCACACCTGGCCCCAGGGCAGAAGCCAGCAGGGCTGAGAGTGGGCAGGCGCACAGCCTAGGTCCAAGTGTCGGGGGCAGCAGGGTGAGGCGCTCCTTGCTTGCTGCCTTGCCTCACCTCACCTTACTATGCGGCCTGTGAGCACGGTGCTGCACGGCACTAACCCTTTGCCCGGCTTTCCATGCAGGTCGGAAGGAGGGTCGGTACCGGGAGCCACCGCCCACCCCACCTGGCTACGTGGGCATCCCCATCGCAGACTTTGACGCAGCACCGCACCCAGTGCGCAGGCCCCCCGACTATACCGTGGCGCTGCAGCGCTCACGCATGGTGGCACGGCCCATGGACACCAGCACGGCGCAGGGCAATAGGCCGGGCCCCAGGCCACAGTGGCACAAGCCGGGAGAGGTGGACTCACGCCTGGCAACCCACCAGGCCCAGGCCTTCTCAGCAGAGGAGGATGGTAGGTGTGGGCCTGGATGTTGCAGGCGGGAGCTGCCAGGAGGGTGCATGGGCTGCCAGGAGGTGGTATGCACAGGCCTGCACATTTCTGATTCTTAAGAGTACAGGCCCCAATTTAAGGATAAATATGAAAACCTGCCATGTTTGTGCTGTTCTCAAGAACTTTTTGAGGGCTGGTGAGATGGCTCAGTGGTCTAAAGCACCTACTTAGAACAAGCTTAGCAGAGCACAGGCAACACGGTTCAATCCCCCCGCACCACATGCCAGCCAGCCCCGCCCCCTGGTGGGCTGAGCTGCCCCCCACACACTATAAATAAATAAATTTTAAAAAACCTTTTTGAGCTATAAAACGAATGGCTAGGGTTTCTGTTGCATTAGCACTTTAATCAAGGGACTTTTAGCATTGAAAACTTAATGAAGGTCCATCCGTTCTCGAGAACTTCATTTTGAAGGCAGCGTGGGCTGCACACCGGCCCTGCGCACGAAGCTGCCTTGCTCCTCTCGAGGTGGGTTCTGAGCCGTGCCTGGACTGCCAGGGCTTAGACCTCCTGCCCGGGCCCACCCGCCCGCCACCATGTAAGCCTCCGGCCTTCCTGCAGAGCTGCTGGATTGAACTTGATTGGGAAAGTCCTTTTGGTGTTTTTTTGTTTGTTTTTTTAAGTTTTCAGTTCAACGTTCTTAATTACACAGTCATTCTATAGAAAAGCCAGCCATAACGAGAAAAATGAATTTGTCCTCTGGCACTCCCAGATAACCAGTTTCTGACTCTTCCGTGCACCCTTTTAATGTACGTGGCAGCATTGTACCAACCGGCATGTTCTCCCCTGAATGTATGTACAGCTTCACAGTCGACAGACATAAATTATACTGCACAGTGTATGTATCTGAAAGTGCGTGAGGGTCCAGTTTCAGCTCCTTTGGATTGTTGAGTGTTGCCTAGGAAGACAAGGGCGTTAAGGGAGCCGCGCTCCGCGCAGTGCCAAGGCTCGCTCACGGGTGTCTTTTTCTCTTCCGCGTGCAGAAGATGAGCAGGTGTCCGCTGTGTGAGCCCCCGAAGAGGAGAGGGACTGGAGCGCGCCCTGCGAGCGTGGAGCACGCACCTCCCGCCCGCCCTGAAGCGCACGCGCAGGCTGTCCCCTCCTCCCCTTGCATGTGACATACTGTGAAGAAATCGCCCTGGCACTTTGCAGACGTCGTTGTTCCAGTGCACAGCGCAGGTCTCGCACCCTCTGCGTCCTTCTGGATTCCGAGATCACCTCAGCAGGAGCCGCCCCAGCCGGCCCCAGCCGGCCGCACTGCGCAACGCAGGAAGGGTTTTTAACAGTCTTCCCTGAGATTCTGCTCCCGTCCCACGGCCTCAGCGGACTGCGAGGAAAGCCGGCTCTCGAACTGCTTGGGGCCTGTAACCGCGAGGAGACGGGCGGGGATCCCTTGAGTACAGTGCTTGCCCACCTGTTTACAATGTTGCTTTTTAAAAATCAGTTTAAAGATTGTTCAGAGAGTCAATGTTAGAGCCCTTAATGATCACAGTATTACTTTTGAACCTTACATAGGTTGCCTCTCTGGGTTCCACAGACCCCGGTGCTCAGGCCTTGTGGAGGGGACGGTGGCTGCCCTGGCTCCGCCTGGGTGAGAGGCAGCAGCCGATGAGGGTCGAGCCTGCGCCCGCCTCTCCTCCCCTCCCCACGTGGGCAGGGGCGGTGCCCTACAGTGAATGTCCTGCTCCCCAGAGGCGAGATGGATGGCAACCCCACTTTAAGTTCTATTTCTTTGATATTTGTTTATTTACAGCTTTAGGGGTTTTTTGTTTGTTTTGTCTTTTTAAAGAAACATCTGTAACTGGACAGCGTTGCTGTGAACGCAGCGTGGATGTCGGAGCTAGCCAGCTGTCGATACTGCTCCCTGAGATAGCCTCCCTCTGCTCTAGGCTTGCCACTGGGAGTCTGGGCGCAGTGAGGGAGCACAGCCCCAGTCAGGGCCGCGGCCTGGCCCAGCCGAGCGACCAGGGCGCTCCGCGGCGAAGGCCCGAGTGTAGCGACCGTCTGCTCACAGCTGCTATGAACCCCGAGGACTGAAGGTGACCGCCTCTCCACTTGGGGGGTGTTTTTGCACAGACTCCGGAAAGTGAAGGCTGCCAATCCGAGTAGCGCTCAGATGTGAGGAACTGCTGGTCTTGGGTTTTTCCATTAAATTCAGCTGATCATATTGATCAGTAGATAAACGTAAATAGCTTCAAATTTTAAAAGTCGAATTGCAGTGTTTTTTCACTGTATCAAACAATGTCAGTGCTTTATTTAATAATTCTCTGTATCATGCATTTGTCTACTTATATATTACATTGTCAATTATACATTTGTAATTTTACATGTAATATGCATTATTTGCCAGTTTTATTCTATAGGCTATGGACCTCATGTGCATATAGACGGAAACCTAGCTCTACCACAAGTTGCACAAATGCTATCTAAACATTAAGTAATCGTAGACCCTAGGACTGCTAACCTCAGTTCGCTCTGTGATGTCGAGTGCAGATTGTACAGTTAACTGGTGACTTCCTCATACTTTTGATACTACTTGTACCTGTATGTCTTTTAGAAAGACATTGGTGGAGTCTGTATCCCTTTTGTATTTTTAATACAATAATTGTACATATTGGTTATATTTTTGTTGAAGATGGTAGAAATGTACTATGTTTATGCTTCTACATCCAGTTTGTACAAGCTGGAAAATAAATAAATATAATGTAAAAGCCTTGCCCCTATTCTTAGTGAATGGTGGGTGCTATTATTCCCAACATGATGGGGGCTAGGGAGATGGCTCAGTGGAATACGCGCTTCCCTGGCAAGCATAAGGGCTTGAGTTAAATCCCCAGTTCCGCAAAAAAAAAAAAAAAAAAAAAAAAAGTATACATATATATATATGAATGTGAACCAGCATGGGCCCCATCTTTCTGTGGGTAAGCCATCCTTTTTCTTGTAAACCAAGACTAAGGTGGAATTTCCTAGCGTCACAATTTTCGCAGATTTCTACCTCCAAAACTACTTAACTAGCACCTGCTCCAGAGTGATGTGCCTCCCACCCTGGGCCTACCCTCTACTTTCCTTGAGTATGTAATGTAAATTCTGCCTGATTCAGCCTCTTGACGGGATGGACGGGTGGCCCCTCACCAGCCCTGCGTGCTCACCACTGTCCCTACGCCCTTGCACATGTCCCTCCTGGCCAGCATGACACCTGCGCCACAAAGCGTCCGGCTGCGTTAGCCCTGCGCCTGGACCTCGGAGCTGAGGGTTAGTCTGTGCCCCAAGCACTCAGCCTCAAGTGTTTTGTTGAAAGTGAACTAAAAGTAACATGTTCTGTAACATATTTTGAGATACAGTTTTCATACAGTTTATGAGCCCGAATTCTAGCATTATTCTTGTTTTCTGAGAATACCAACTCTGAGAGTTAATAACTATCCTCTCCTGTGGCTCATTTTTAGGGCAGCTGGCCCAGCCAGGAGCTGCGCTAAAGCCACGACTCTGAAGCCTCCACCCCCTTTAGCTTTCACAAAGTGATTCAAAACAATAGTGCAGGCAGTGGACAGCCTGAAATGTTCATCTCTCCCCCTCTCCCCTGATGTGCTCAGGACCCTTTATTGCCCCTGACCTCGATTAGGATTCTACTCTGAGCACCTGCTTCTTACGGAGCTTTGCTACGGAAACAGCTTGATTTGCTGCTGTTCGGAATTTCTAGGCACGGATTCCCAGACAGAGCCTGCACGTGCAGATCTCCCTGTGTGATTCCCGAGAACCCACCACGCTGGCTGTTGGGGAAGCCTGTTGGGGAGCTTGCCTCTGTGTTTTTGCTCACCTGGATGCTCTGACTTTTTACAAATTCCAAGAGATTAAAAAACACTCTCCTGCCGCTACTACCTAATTCCCACAGTGGTATTCTCTTACTTGTTTTTCTATATGAATTGTCACTGGAATTTTTTTTTTTTTTTGGAAAATTGTGCATCTACTTAATTTGCTTCTTAGCTTGAATTTTGCATGAATTTTAAAACAAAGTGAAGAGGATGATATGTAGTCACTCCATGATCCCCCATTTTCAACAATTGTTAACACATGGCTGATAAGAGAAACAAATCTGAGATGCTCAAAGTTGAATTACAAAGATCAGACTGGAGGGAAGACATGAGCCATCAGCATCTGGGGCAAACACATAGCTGCTCACAGCCCTAACATGACCTGGAACTGTGGCTGGACCCTGGGGGCCACTGAGACACAAAGCCCTGTACTTCCATCCCAGCCTTGGAGGGCCTGCCTGCCCTTGCACACTGTCTCCCTACACTGAGAGTGGCTGAGGCTGGAAGTTGGTCACATGTGCACAGTCAGGCTGCCTCAGTCTTGAAGAAAGAACCCTGCCTGGACAATGTCAGCCATTAGTTGTTAGGCAACCTTGTGTCTTGAGATAACAACTTTGCAAAGGTATAAATGCCCTTGCTGTTGTTGTTTAGGTTCTTCGCCAATCCGAAAAGGAGACCTCCACCTGAACCCAGTTCTTATCTCTTGTCTATATTTTTCTCATTCCTGCATTTCTCCCTGGAGAACACTGAGAGACCAACATGTCCCCATATTTTGGTGCCTGAATAGGACTCCTAGTAAGAGATAAATGGACAGCAGAAAAGCTTCCCAAGTGCATGCAACAAGGGAGGGGAGTGAATTGGTTAGAGCCAGTATTCACTACAGGCATACATTGGTACAGGCATATTAGGTATAAAACTTTGGGAGGTGGCTTATTAGGGCCAGAAATGGGCTCATTAGGGCCAGAGAGATAAATGAGCTTGAAGAGAAGCCAAAAGAGAAAGTTAGATAGAATTACTGATAGTTAGAAATGGAACAAATAGAGTCTCAAGAGTCTCAGAGGTATATGTACGTGGAAGTGGTTTTGGTGGGCTTGATCCCTGTATTTATTCTTCTGGATTGTGGTTAAAAGGGATTTCACGACCACAGAGGATGTGGCTCACAGTTCTGCTTTACAATCAAGTCCTGATCCCATGTGGGACAGGGAGTAGGGCACCACAGTGCTGCAGACAGAGCTTGAACCCTCTGGCCTTGCTCAGTCAAATAAGGCAGGAGAACCCTTCCACCAGAGAAGTGTTTCCCCACACATTTCACTTTACAACACACGATGACTAGATGGGCCACAGGCAGCCATCCCAGCCTTTTCAGCTCAGAGAAATTTTGCTGCATCACAGTTTGGAATTTCTTCCTCTCAGGGAGTAAAGCTCTTTTCTCTATCTCTCCAGCAAATGACACTAAAGCCAGTGGGGAAGGGGAGCTCATGGAGGGTTTTCAACATATCTACACTATTACCAAGTCCCCAGTCATCCAGGACAAGTTATATATCTTCCTGAAAGCTGTACCTTTTAACAACTTGAATTAAAACAAGGTATTGTTACTTATAGCCCTATTCCTCCCTTTACCTTGAGTTTAGTACAAATCCGGTGACAACAGTTTATGGCCTCAAATCATTGGGAAAGGACAGCTAAAGCATGTTTAAATCCAAGAGATTATTTGTTGTGGTGGAAAGGAAATTTCTTGAATGTTGTGCAAATAGGCAACTCCTAATACTGTTCACAACGTAGCCATTACAGAAGATATGCTAATAGGAAAGGTGCCTTTCTACCACAAAAAATCCACTTACCTTTGCATTGCAAGTCGATGAACAAACTAAGGTAGCTGCTACTAGGGCCTGGAGGAAACTTCCTTTAAAGGGTGGGGCATCCCTCAACTTGGCTTCCATTACACAGGGCCCTGACGAACATTTCCAAGATTTTGCAGAAGACTTCCTGCAAGCCAGTGAGAGGATTATAAGTGCTACAGAAGCTAGTAAATTAATAGTTCAACAATTGCCTTTCAAAAATGCAAATAAATGGTGTCAAGAGGCTTTAAAAGCCTACAAAAACAACAGGCTACACTATCTGAGATGATTTGGATGTGCAGTTATTGGTCCCTCATATGCCTGGGGGCTTCCATGGGAGCAGCTATCACTCCATTATTTATCCACAGGCTGGAGGAAAGGAAAAAGGCAAGGCTGTTTGCCTCCATGTGGGGACAGGGGACATTTTGCAGGAAACTGCTCTGCTGCATCAGTAAAGACCACACAGCCATTCTCTGTCTCTTTAACAAAACCTTCCGGTCTCTGTACAAGTGTTGAGGAGGGTACCAGTGGAAAAGTGAATGAAGATCTAAAACTGGTGTGGAAGGCCAACCCTTTCAGGGAAACTTCCATTGGGGCCCAGCTTGGCCCCTTCAAAGAGTGGGGACACCATCCTCAATCACTCCCAGCCCTATACCCCACCACGAAGTGCATCTCTGACCTCTGGTGAGGGGCAACCAACAGTGGAGACTTGAACCTCAGTCCCTCCTCCAGATTCCTATTAATTTCTGAAATGGGGCCCAAAATTATTTTACTGGAGTCTCTGGACCTTTGTCTCAGGGTAGCGTCAGTCTCCTGGTAGGTCACAGAAGTCTTATTTTAAAAAAGTCTCCAGGTTTTACCCAGTATCGGCAATGCCGATTATACAGGGGAAATCAAAGTTATAATTCAATCTACCCAACCGTTGCTCAAATCACCCCGGGCTTTCATATTATTCAATTGGTCATTTTTCCCTTGGCAATAATTGGAAATTTTACAAATAAAGAAAATGGATCTAAGGATTTTTGGATCTTCTGACACCTATTGGGTACAATAGATTAAACAAAATCACCCTGAGATGAAATTGACTATTGAGGTAAAAATATTTAAAGGGCTATTAGACAAAGGTGCAGATATTTCAGTTATTGCCTATCTTAGTTACTTGTCTCTCGTTGCTGGGAAAAATACCCAACATTTGAAATGAGGGAAGGAAAGGTTTATTTAGCTCACAGTTACTGGAGGTTTCAAGACACTGGAGGAGAGGCCCGGGCGCTGCCGTGTCCAGCTGACCTTCTCCACCTCTTTGAGAA